GTGGTTGTGTTCGTAGTTTTTCTAGTTTTTCTAGTTTCTGCGGCAGCACGCCGGCCAACATGCCAACCTAGTTGCAAAGAGCCATAAGCTGACAGCTGATGACCTGTCCGGTGTCACGGCCGTCAGCCTGCATACCAAGTGGTTTGGGACAGTGGTGAAGTGTGCTGACTCTGGGGGTGTGGCTCTTGTGTTCGATTTCAATTTGCCCAGCCTGTCCAGCCAGCGCTCTGCCCAAGATGCCCGCCCTGCCGGCAGCAATGCTCAGCAGTGCCCCGACTCAAAACTTCAGCTCAGGAGTCAGCAAGGCCACAGGTACGGCCTAGAAACACAAACCTCACATGGGACATCACGACAATGGCGAAGGCTGCTTCACGACGCACTCTCCACGGGGGCCAAACCGCTGCCTTCGTGCCGCGGTTGGGTGCCCTTTGCCATGTGAGACACATGCTGCAGTTGCGACTCCTTGGCTGCCGCGCCCTTTGCACCCGTCGTCAAGGGAGTTTTCGGGGCGTGGTGCGCCTGGTTCTGGGGGGGGCTGCTGCGGCAAGACCGCAGCGAGCTTTACTTGTTCCTTGTGGCAGCTGCGAACACCGGAAGCTCCGGATGCCTTCCACCATGGCAGGCGCACATGCATACAGAGGCACGGGGATACGGCGGCGCACACAGGGAAGGGACAGAAGGATGCGCCGCAGGTATGCTTCAAGAGCTAGGGCGACAAAGAGATTGGGAGCTGATAACTCGTGGCAGCACAGCATCCACAGCGACTGGCAGCAGAGCCACTCTCCTCGGTCATCGATCAACCATCCCCTCAAAACCAGCTCCTTGGCCTATGACCCATCACAGCTGGCTGCAATACGCCCGTTCACAAGCACGATGCACCGTACACGTCACACCCGGACACGCCTTTCCTTGGCGCTTCCCGGATGGTAGCCAGCCACCCCCCCTCCTCACATACGTGCCTACACGCTCATACATACTTGCACACATGCACGCACACGTGTGTGCGTAGACGCGCGAGCATGATAGCCGCAGTGCCGCCATGCTTGATGGCACCGGGGGTCGCTTGGTGCACGCTTCTCGCCGGCTGTTACATCTTGGATGTGTGTAAATACCCGTCCGCAATGACTCGCCTGCCGTGACTGCTAGCGCAAACGAGCCGCAGAGTGCGCCACCGCCCAAGCAGCACCCACGGCTCGACCACTCCTGTGTTGCAGGCGCAGGCTCAGCGTGTCTGCGGGACTCAGCATTGCCGCCACTCCACTTGAGGCCACTCCCTCAACTGCCAGGGCTGCATGACGCCCAGATCGCGCGCCAAGTGTGTCGCTGGCCCCCACGCCACCAACGCGCAGCCCCGCCACTCTTCAGGTCATGTGGTCCTCGTTACACCCGCCACTCGCGCCTCGCGCGCACGCAATTCTCGCCCTACTCGCAGCAATAAAACGCGGATCTAGAAAAGAACCTCACACAACGCGGACAAGCCGTGCACAAAAACATCTGCCCCCGCCAAACCTGACAGCTGGCCCGAGCCCCAGCGCGCGTACGCGCGAAAACGCCCGCCCGCCCTTGCTCGCCCGTCCCCAAACGCGCGCGTCCTGCGGTTGCGGCATCCATCAGATGAAGGGCAGCAACAGGTACTCAGAATAGAAGAAGTTCCAGACCCACTGGTAGAAAGTAGCCACAGCCTGGCGCGTGTAGCCAGCCCGCGTGCCAGCTTCAGCCAGCGCAGCGCGAGGCCGGCAGCCAAAAGAGCGGGTGCGTGTATGTGCAGCGCTGTTCCTAGTGTCGTGGCGGCAATTTATATGAAGCGTGGGCACATGGCGACGAGATGACGTATTGATGGGGCTTATCCGGCTTGCATCGCGACAGGCATGGCTTGTGCGGAGCACCCAATGCATGGGATCCGAAGGGGTCAACAGAGTGTGACGGGCGCTGCTGGCGCCACGGGAGCAAGTGAATGATGTGTTGTGCACGTTGCGCAGCCGTGAGTGGGGCACAGCACGGCCAGCACAGCGACCGCAGCATAAGCACGTCATCGCGATACCACCATCTCCCCGCCACGCGCGCTCAATGGCAGCTGCAGGTGCATGGTTTGGGGGCAGGGGAGGGTGCGCAGGTGCAGGGCGGGCCCAAAGGTGGCAACAGCAAAGTGGGGGCGTAGACAAGCAGCTCAATTCAAACACATGGTGGCTGGGCACAGCGCCGTGGCAACACGCGCTGCTGCAGTGCTGAAGACACTTGAAGAGGCGGCGGCTCCCGTGCGGGCCCCAGCCCTCCTTGGCGCGTGCTGCTACCGCCCAGCGGGCCGTTACGCCGCGGCCAGTCGCGGCCAGTGGCTCTTTTTGGTCTCCGCCGCCCACTCCACCAAATCAGGGAACTCCCCCAGCAGCCGCCCAACCGCCGGCATCCGCGACGCCACAGTCAGGCCGCTGCCGGGCGGCACCTTGTAGGTGAGGGGCAGCTCCCGCACCTGGGCCACCCTGCCTATTGAGACTGCCAGGGCAATGTCCGCATATGTCAGGCCGCCGGCGGCCCCAAGCAGCAGGCGCCCGCTGCCGGCACCGGCCAGCCGCTCGCGGGCGGCGGTGAGGTGGGCGCGCACCTGCGGAGGATGAGGAAATGCAGGTGGCGTGGACGGTGCGCCCCTTATCGGCTTCGGCACCTCAACGGGGGATTTGGCGATGAAACTACGCAATCATGGTCCTGCTCCGGCGCGTTGCCGGCCACTCTGCCACTGATGCACTGATGCTGCCCCCCATTCCATGCCCCCCATGCCCCACCGCAGCCCATGCAGCTGCCTGCAAAGCTGCCTCTGAAGCTGCCTGCAAAGCTGCCCGTGAAGCTGCCTGTGAAGCCGCCCATAAAACAGCCCGGGAAGCTGCCCGTGAAGCTGCCCATGAAGCTGCCGAGCTGCTCCGCCCCCTCACCTTTTCCTCGGAGGCCCCTGCGTCGTCTTCTCTGAACTTTTGCTGCAGCCGTGTCAACACGCCTGCGTGCAGCCGCCGCATCACGTCGCGTGTGACGCCCTGCCCGATGTTGGGCGGCAGCAGTGCGTCGCGGACGGAGGCGTCCCCTATGCCAGCGGCGGTGAGCTCGCGTCGGAAGAGAGACACGAGGTTGTTTGCGGCGGTGACCCACCTGCGAGTGTGAGGGAGCGGGTGCGTGTGCGCATGCTTGGTTGTGTGTGTGTGTGTGTGTGTGTGTGTGGGTGGGTGGGTGCGTGCGTGTGTGTGTGTGTGTGTGTGTGTGTGTACATTTGGTATCGTCAAGTGAGTGTGCTGGATTATACAGTCATGATTGTCATCAGGGCGTTGCCAACCAACCCCCAGCTGCAGCGGCGGCCCACTAGCAATCAGGCCGCAGGGCACCATGGGCGCTGCTGCGCCCGCCAATGGTTGCACGCGGCCGCCCTCTGTGCACTTGCGCTGCGCGCCGATGCCCCCGTGCCGTCCGCCTGGGGGGGGACGCAATTTGGGCCCCCTACGAAAGCCCGCACCTCTCCAGCTCCTGCTCGTGCTCTGGAGGGAACAGCGAGCCGCCCTTGCCCGTCGCGCCGCCGCCGCGTGCGTCCGCCCACCGCGCGATGGCGGTGCTGTCCATGATAACCTCGTTGTCGGGCGCCCCGGGGCTGGTGAGCAGGATGGGGGCGGTCACGCGGCCGCGCAGCTTCCCGATGCGCAGGCGCAGGGGGAGCAGGGCTGCGGGGAAGGGGCTGAAAGGGTAGGCACTGGTGGTGTAGGGTGGGCCGCCGCGGGCAGCGATGACATCCAGCGCCCACTTGGCCTGACAGCGCGCGTTGCAGGGGAAGGGCTCATTCGGAATGGTGTGGGTGGAGCGCCGGTCAATGCCCCGCCCCGGGACATGGGGGCTGGCTTGTAAATGCCTTGCGCAAACCCAGCGCCCGTATGGTACGAGTGTAATCGCACCCTCTGGCTGAATGGGGACCGATCAAAGGAAATCAGCTCCATCATGGGCGCCATCAGCCGTGATCAGACGCTGTCCGTGCTGCTGTAGTTTGCGTTAAGAGGGCGACCACAAAGTTGTGACGCTTCGTTCTCTTGGGTTTGGCAGGTCCCCCTGGACACCGTGGGCAATGCGGCCGTGACGATCCGTGTCTGCGTGGGGTACCGTACAGATTACGATGAGCTGACGGCTGATGTAGACCTGTCCGGTGTCACGCTGGCAGCCTGCATACCGGGACTCAGTGCTTTGGGGCACTGATGAAGTGTGCTGACTCGGAAGGTGCAGCACTTGCGTTTGTTTGTGTTTGACTGTCACGCTGCATGTCCAGCAAGCGCGCTGCCCGAGATGCCCACCCTGCCGACAGCAAGCTCGGCAGTGTCCCGACCCCAAAACCCGAGCGCGAGAGCCCCGAAATTCACGGGTAAGGCTGAGAAACCTCTCACGTGGGATCTTGTCAAGAGACGGCACCGCCAGATCCTGGGCAGCTGCCAGGCAGGTGGTTCCCTGGGACATCACGACAAGTGCACAGGTCGCTTCACCACGCACCCTTCAAGGGGCCCCTGACCATGCCTCGCTTCTGCCAAAGGTGACTGCCGCCATGTGCGCATGCTGCAGTTGCGACTTTTTGGCTGCCACGCCCTTTGCACCTGTTGTCAAGGGGGTGTTTGCTTGGCGGGGCGCGCATGGTTTTTTGGGGGGGGAGGGGGCTGCTGCGGCGAGCTATCCTTCTTCCTTGTGGCGGCTGTAACCACCGGAAGCTCTGGCTGCTTTCCACAATGGCATGACTAGGGGGAGTGACTTTGCTGCCGTTGGCCTTGCTTACTGCCACAATCAGCTCCTGATCTTTTTGTCGCCCCAACCATCCCCTCAGAACCAGCTCCTCAGCCGGCACGGTCGTACTTGCACACATGCACGCACACGTATGTGCATAGGCACACAAGCATGGTAGCCGCAGTGCGCCATGCTTGATGGCACAGGGGTCCCCTTGGTGCACGCTTCTCAACGGTTGGTGCAGACCGGATGCGTTCGTGCAAGCCGTGTGAGTGACCCGTCTGCAATGACTCGGGCTGCCACAACTGCCAGCGCAACCGAGCCGCAGAGTGCGTCACCGCCCAAGCAGCGCCCGCGGCTCGACCATGCCGAAGGCCCGCTGTGTTGCACGCGCAGGCTCAGCGTGTCTGCGGGACCCAGCAGCTCCAGCCTCCACTGCACTGGAGGCCACTGCCTAAACTGACACTGACGGCTGCATGACGCCCACAGTGCACGCCGAATGACTCATCGCTGGCATTCCCGCCGCCGAGGTGCCGTCAAGCCCCGCCACTCTTCGGGTCACG